CCGGTAGAAGTCGGGTGATGTCTGTCATCACTGCGAGATATAGGTGGATACCGAGCACGGTTGGCTATATCTCGCTATCGTGGAACAGAACCATGAGGTAAAAGTAAATTGAGACCGGACGGAGATCGATAGGGAAGCAACAAGGCATGGAGGTCTTGGGTGTGGACTTATCCCCGTCTGTCGGTCGATTAAGGACCGCATCGTTGTTGGCGCTTCCGACAAGATTGAACGCATGCCTCTCACTTAGGTGGGCCGGATAATTGCGTTCCGACCATGAAGCCGAGTAATTCAACTCGGCCGGGAATCGTTTCACAGCGCCTTCCGGGGAACGATCGACCGAGCCCAAAGGCGTGCTTGGCTCGAGCATCCCGGCATCTGGTGTTCCAGATTGTGCGGTGTGATGACGGACCCATGAAATGTGTACTGAGTTGTACCAAAGGTGACCTAAGGCTATCGTGGTTTGGTAGACTGGGTTTGTGTTAGGAATAAATTCCCATTTGGTTGAAATCGATCGAATCGCCGTCTCTCCCGGATAGTGAGAAACTTGGCTAGTCCCAACATCGTGTGACTATATTATGAAACATGGTGGTTCGGATGAATATGGAATTACAATAATGCTATGGTTACTATTGTATGCTTCTAAATGATATCCCACATGTTTGTACAGGATAGTTGCTAATCTAGAAATGGATAGTTATAATTAACTTGATAAAGGAATCATAATTGTTCAACGGGTAATTGCCTTTTTCGCAAAAAATGTTGTCAAGTTACGTCCACTTATACTGACCTTGCATGATCCTTGGAGTCATTTTATTTACGGTTCATGACGGGTAAGTCTAGTGAGTACCTTTCTCGTACTCGTGGTTTATTTTCCCATTGTTGCAGATGGCACTTGTGTATCATGGTTATTGCAAGAGTTGCTTCTATCCCATTGTGGATGAGGAGTAAGCCTTGGGCGAGCTTCCTTAGTAATTCCTATCTTTGCTTTTGTGGATCGTGATCGGCATGGCATCGTATCAAACTATGTTGGAAACTTTATCTTCGAACTTATTTGCTTCCGCTTTAATTATCAAACTCGGTTTGTAATAACTTTCTATTCATACTCTGATGATGAAAAGTATCTGTGAACTTTATGTAATGTGTGGCATGTATGTTGAATCCTGTACGATCTTGGTTGTTGTAAATCGTTTATCGAGACCCGTCGGGGTACTCGACGGACTACCGGGTTTATATGGGTTCAAGTATGACAGTGCGACCGCTTGCGGATTGCCATTGTACTTGTATTCTTATAAATTGGTCGGTTCTGCGACAGCACTTGTCCAAGTCTTTATATTTTTCTCCACGGTACAATATGCAATCATTGGAACACGCGTGGAGTTTTTCAACCTCGAGGCCGATGGGGCAGACCATTTGCTTGGCCAAGTATGTCTTTTCTGGCAACTCATTTTTTTCTGGGAGTATTTTCCTTATTATACCTAACAACTGATCGAAGCCTTTATCACTCAATCCGTTTGTCGATTTGAACTCTAACAGCATGATGTCGGCTTCTAGTTTGCTCATTAGACAATTCCTATACAATAGTGTTTTGCCATTTTGTCTTATTTTCTCTAGCTTTCTCAGCTGTCTTTCACTAAGACATCCGATCTCTACATTACGTAGCACCTGAGAAATGTCATCGTTATCCTCGATGTCGTCAGCTAGCGTGTTCCTAAACACATTATTAACTGTGGCCATAGGTTCCATGTTGACACCAGGTTCCTCGTCAGCATCGTGGATGGCTACGTCAGGCATGTCCACATCATCGTTTTCCTGCAGAACATTCACACCAACCTCGCCATGCATAGTCCATATCGTATAGTTTGGCATGAACCCCCTGGTAATCAAGTGCGATCGTATAGACTCAATTTGACCAAAGTTCCTATGATTCTTGCAATCTTTGCATGGGCAGAAGACAGGGTTCCCATTCCCAGCATGGGCTTTGGCATTGGTGATAAACTGGCTGATGCCATGCATGTACCGCTTGTCCGTTCGGGACAGATACATCCACTCTCGATCCATCTCTACACAAAAAAATACTGAGACAGTAATTACAAAGAATTAATAAGAAATCGAGCTTCATGAACAACAGTTGTAGCTCGAAAGTACCATCTTTGGAAAATATTATTGTACACTAATTATTGGAAAATTGAAATTGGTAGCCCCGGCCCTGTAAATTGAAAATCGTAGTAAAAACAATTATTGCACAATATTGAAGAACAACTATTATACTCTACTTCTAAGAACTAATTATAGCATCACATACTAACAATGATGATCTTGACCACCATAGAATAATTAGCTAGGAATTTAAATGTGTTCATAGACACCAACCGTTTGGACGATGGATTCACCACAATTTGAGCCTTGCACAAATGTCCAATTGGAAAAGTGTTCTCTAGAATGGAGAAAGAACTAGAACGAGAATCAAGCAATGTAGCCATCAAAACAAAGCTAATTAAGCAACAAAATCAAAGGAGTGGATGTTTGTTACTAACCTTAAAGCAAAAAGATGAAGCCATTCTTCAAAATCCAAGCGCTAGCTTCATGGTGAAGAGCAGCCGCAACAATGGAGGGAAGGGCCCAAACGCGCGCCTCTGTTCTTGGGATGGAAGAGAGGAAGAAGGGGAGGACGGCTGCAGCATTTTTGTAGGCTTATCACCGTCGGTTCTTAGCTAGAACCGACAGTGATAGAGTCCAATCACTGTCGGCTCTTGGCTTAAACCGGCAGTGATAAGTGCTCGCCAAAACACTGCCGGTTCAAGCCACAAACCGGCAGTGATGTGGTCATTCTATGCCGGTTTTAGCCCAGCCCCAATCATTTTCTCATTTTCAAGCTCATAACCGGCAGTGAAAGTACATCACTGCCGGTTCTCACAAATCCGGCAGTGATGAGACCGGCAGTGATGTGCAAATCTAGCGTAGTGTGCTACTGCTTGCCATCAGAATTGAGATAAATATAACACTAAACATACTACATCACTTTAGGTTTCTCACGAGTACATCTACTGAGCAATACAAGATTAGCTTATGTGCATCTGTTGCAACTAACAGCATGCCATACATTACCCCGTACTACTACCTTTATCCAAGAATTAAAATGCATGGTAAGATGGTACTAATTGGGTTGCATATTACTACAAAAACTGACAGAACAGAATGAACTACTGGCTGCACCAAACAGACAGACGAGGCACAAAATACTACTAATACAGTCTAGAAAAGTAAATGATGCTACCCATAACACCAGACTCCAAAGTAGTAATTTTTTAGAGGGGTACCCATAATAGCAGACTAAATAGTAGCAATTTCATTTCTCTAATAGCGTTCATTTCTCTTATTAGTATTATATATGTACGACAGAAAGAGAAACACTCTGAAATTACTTCTATTGAGTTCATTTCTCTAATATTAGTAATTTTCTTGTAGAGCTCATTTCTCTACAAGTAATTGTCTTATAATTGGGACACTAGCTAGTAGTCAATCTCTAGTTTAAATTATTCAGGAGAGTTCCTTGACAGAACAAGCTCCTCCATTGACCAAAGAATCCAGATCTAGGCATAATAAATGTGATGCTTGGGATATTTTTACGCTCTCATGATATTAGAACTAATACTACGGCATGAATTATGCTTGCGGGATTGAGTATTACTACCAAGAGTGTGTAATATAAGTAAATAATTACTACCAAGCGTAATTCGTCTTGTAGATGAAAGAACATATTACTCGCAATGAAAACAGGAGATGAGAACCTGCAAGCACCGGATCCCACAGGGCAGGAGGTCGGAAGGCTTCCAAATGTGTAGCCATGGTCATAGTTTAAATTGCTGCTCCAAATTTGTACATCCCGACAGCACCTGGTTTGATTTGTAGTTTTGTAGAAATTAGCTGTTGCAGTCAAAGTTCAGCTAGGCGCTAGGCGCTAGGTGGAATCTAGGTGCTGACCCATTGTCTAGCGCCTAGTCGGGAGTACTCGGTCCTAGGCGCTCCTAGGTGTTTTCCTAGGCGTTTTGACAATATAGCCATAAATATATATATATATATATTATGTATATAACTATATATATGTATATAACTACTATATATGAGTCACAGTAAGTATAAAAAGAGGGCCAGTAGACATATCTGATTCCTAGTTTGCTTACTCTTGCATGTTCCTAGCTCCTGCAAGGTTGCAACACATTCAAATTCAAGAGTTCAGTCATACTTGTTATAACTTATAAGTAACAAATTCAAGAGTTCAGTCATACTTCTCAGAATCCAACTTTATTTTTATGGCAGCAACAAATATATACTTGTTATAAGTAAAATGACAACAATGCACTGGTAAATCATATCCATTCATGACATATACATAGATCCACTAGCTGGATCCTAATTTCCCAGAAATGAGACAATATTTCTTATGTCATACTCATGATTTTCACAAAATCATTTTGATTTCTTATTGTAGTACCTAAGGTAAATTTACCACATTTTGTACCCAAGCACAAGCATACAGATCTTGCAGAACTGCATGTGCATATACATGATACGCAATAGTTCGACAATGCAACTCAGACAAATTGGTTCAGACCCACAATCATGAAGGTGAAGATTGGTGACAGCAATGGAACAGGGGAGATGAGCAGGGGAGGAGCTGCCGGCATGGGAGGGGAGAGGAGCATGGGAGGGAAGGGAGCTCACCTTGGGGACTTGGGGTGGCCGGCGGGGAGGGGTTCCAGTCGACGACGAGCAGGACGGCGGCGGCGAGTAGACGACGAGCAGGACCGGCGGCGCGCGACTCGGGGACGAGCTTGGACGAGCAGGGGAGGAGCAGGGGAGGAGCAGGACCGGCGGGAGGAGCAGGGGAGGAGCAGAGGAGGAGCAGGACCGGCGGGGAGGAGGTCGTCCGGCGGGATGGACCTCGCCCGGCGGGAGGAGCAGGACCGGCGGGGAGCAGGGGAGGAGCAGAGGATGAGCGAATGGCGCCGCGCTCCATTAGCCTCCCGCGCCTGGGTCTCGTGGCCGCGCGCGGGACTGGCCGCGCGGGAATTCCTCCCGCGCTCCGATTTGGCGCCAAATCGGAGCCGCCCTCGAGCTCGCGCGCCTACGCGCCGCGTCCGCGCCCGCCTAGCGCCGCGATGCGCGACTATGCCCCTAGTCGCGGTGACGGGCTTCGCCCAGCGACTAGGCGCGCGTAGTCGCCGAGTAATCGCCGCCTAGCCGAACTTTGGTTGCAGTAGTAAAAAGGTTTTAGTCAAAAGAAAATAATGATTTGTACCACTAAATGAAATAACTTTGCTTCTCAAATATTTCTCAAAAAAAGCTAAATAACTTTGCTTCTCAAATATTTCTCAAAAAAATCTATCTGATTTAAAAATCAGCAATTTTATTATGGCAGACACCTCCAGTATAGTAGTAGATATTACTACTTGGATCCAAAAATATTACTACGTAATCTTACTACCTGAGTAAACCGGAGAATAAATAAATGTCTCCTGTTCTAGTCTGCTTGTAGGGCTTGCGTGCCTCACATGATCATGGTAGTAGTGGTAGTAGTCACAGTCGTGATGGTAGTCATTGTTAAATGATGCTAGATACTACTACTTCAACCTGCAACCATAGACGATTTGGTTAGATAAGATAATACATGGTGGTGGTACCCGTAGTAGTAGTCATAGTCATATTTTAAATTGCCACTCTAAATGTGTACATTCCCACACACCTGGTTTAATTTGTGCAATCAAAGAAATTAGCAGTTGTAGTAGTAAAATGGTTAGTCAGAAGAAAATATTGAGAATTGCCACTAAGAATCGATAAAAATTACTACTACTTGATGTTGGAGTGCACAGCTTACATGCTGGTGTGTTAATCAATTGGAACAAAATTAGCTCCAAACAAGTAACTATCTAGATGTGGATGCATCCAGCGATGTGTTGTGCATCAAAACGGATTGGATTAGACTAAATTCTACTCACAACACTCACATCTGCTACCATCGGTGAGGGGAGGGGCGACGCAGTCAGATCCGCTTTGGAGAGGCTTGTCGGCGTCGCCACTAGTGGGGGAGGACGCCGTCACCGCTGCTCGGAGGGAGAAGGGCTCGCCGCCGTCGCCGGGGAAGGAGCCGCCGAGCGCGCGGGCCTGGCCACGCCGTCGCCTGGGCCTCCGAGGGCGCTGGCCTGGCCGCCTGGATCCGCTTCCTCGGGATATCACCGGCGGGTATGGTCACGGGGAGGCCGCTGCCGCCGCCGCCATGGGAGGAGTGCCTTCGTCAGTCATCGTCGCCCACGCGTCAGGTCAAAAAACAGAGAGAAGGGAAATCCGGATAGGGAGGAGAGAGAAATAAGTGAGAGATTTTGATTAGACAATCTTTTATACTACTACCGATTGGTAGTAACAATTACTATTGCGGGTCCGTAATTTAGGGGGTGGGTGGCTCACGACTTACAGAGACTGACCACGCCGGAGTTGGGCGGCCCTACGCCGTCGCTCTAAATATTATTGACAGCGTAGGATCCTGAATAGAAAAAAAAAATATATATATATTACTTTACACATAAAAACATGATAATATTCAAAAATAATAGTACATACTGCAATAATATTATAAAAATGGAAAATAATTGATGACAACCCATAAATTAATGTTGATCGATCACAAGCATCTATTATAGAGTCAATACTTTATGATCAATATTCGAAGTCTCTTACAAGCCCCACAACATCTTAGGACACCTAATTTAAAAGGTTCATAGCTAATATATTACATAACAGCAAGCGTACATTACAGACTTCAATCAGACACCATTCCTCTAATTCAGCGTAAGGAGCCATTCTTTCCTCATCTCCATAGGCAGTTCCATAAGCGTTTGGAATAAACGTTCATTAAGAAACTTTGAGAACGCAGGATTGCCCATTTTTTCTTCCACGAACCAAAAGTTCTTTCCACAATATTTCTAGCACGAGAGTATAACTCTTTGGGAGTTTTAGGCTATTGTTGACTTGAAACCCACTCTTTTAAGTGGTACCTAGTGGATCTAAATGGAGCTAGAAATCTAGGTGCATTGGTATAACCAACATCAACTAAATAATATTTTCCAATTATGAAAAAACTAAATTAGATAACTACCATAACAAAGAAATAAATTGCCAAGTGTAAAGGTCATACCCTGAGGTACAACAAATGCATCTTGGCGACCATTGCATCATCCAAAACTCTTGAATCAGAAGTTGAACCCTCCCAACCAGACAAAACATACAAAAATTTCATGTTCCAGTCAACCACACCTAACATGTTAGTGGTGATGTGTTGCTTCCTGTTTCTATACCTCCCTTGGTCAGCCACATCAACACACACATCAACATGACACCCATCTAATGCACCAAGAGCATTGTCAAACCACTTCCATTTGTAATCATCCGGAGGTTGAATTGAAGGATCAGGAAGCTTAATGAACTCTCCACTTAAAGATAGAATAGCTGATAACACATCAGAAAAGTGCCTATTGATAGTCTCTAAAGAGCGCTTATAAGTGCCACGCAACAACCTCATTTTTAGACCATGCCCAACCACCAGCAAGAACATAGCAACCTTTTCTTCCACATCAACATAAACACTATCACGAAGACCACATCTCTCACACAACATGATGCACAAGTCATGAAAGTTTCTTTTAGTTAAACGTACCTCATCATAGCATGTAACTTCAGAACCATCATACATTTCTTTTAGCAAAAACTTCCTAAGAGTATGCATGCCCAAATCCCTTGGCCCCCGATGTGAACTAAGATATACAAGCCCAAGAATAACTGCCTCAAAGTATAGTTCTATGAATATAATCCTCCTCTTCCTCCTTTTATTTTCTTCATTAATGAAGGAAACCAACTCAAGATCTGACATAGGCACACACATGATTTTTAAAGAGCATGACATGAAACAAAAGATTCATTCAGGAACACCAACTATACCTTCAATCCAACTGAGGAACAACGAACCCTTCACAAAAGTAACCTGTTAAATCCAGAGAAAAGGGGTTAGGGTTTAGAAAGAGTGGACCCATGGAGGGAGAAGAAAAGAAGGCCTCAATCGATCTGGATGTATTGGGAAAGCGAGCAAGAATGAATGGATGAGGGTAGGCGCAGCTCAAAGATGGACGAATCATTAGGAAAGGGGAAGTAGATGAGAGTCGCAAGAAAATGAACCTGCAGGGAGGGAGAGCGACGGAGGTTGGAGAGGAGACGCCGAGGGAGAGGACGTGCATCCACTGCAGGGGGTCAACCTCCGTCGCCTCTCTCTTGCGACTTTGCGAGTCGCTCGCTCTTTTCTTTTTCCCGAGCCGCAGGTCGAAGGGGTACGCGCGGGGGTCGGGGAGGGGAGGGGAAGCGATTTCGGGGCGAGAGACCTCGGAATTGTGGGCGGGCTCTTTCCTTCGTGCGGAAAGGGTCTATAACACCCCGGCTCAGGGCTTAATAGGATTAATAGGATACTCGTACCAACAAGTTACAACTTCTTTTCTGGAAGCCCATCTCTTAAGAACTCCAAGGTTAAGCGTGCTTGGCCTGGAGCGATGGGTGACCGACCGGGAAGTTCTTCCTGGGGGCGCATGAGTGAGGACAAAGTGCGCAGAAAAGACTGATGTTGGTCTGTGAGGGCAGTCTATGTCCTAGGAAAGCTATCACATGTAAGCGGGCCTGGCCTCGAGGAGGCGGGACGTTACAGAATGGTATCAGAGCCGACCCTTGCGGTTTCATGGGTGCGTGTGTCGATTCTTGTGAGCATGGTGTGCATGGTGGTGTGGACCCAGAGTGGTCACCCAAAGATGGCACATGGCACACATGGACTGCTGCACACAGAGACACTTCTGGCTCGGGGTTGACCGACGAGGACGTCGGTCTCCTAAGGGGGTGAGGATGTAACACCCGGCTCAGGCTTAATAGGATTAATAGGATACTCATACCAACAAGTTGCAACTTCTTTTTCTAAAGCCCATCTCTTAAGAACTCCAAGGTTAAGCGTGCTTGGCACGGGCGACGATGGTGACCGACTGGGAAGTTCTTCCCGGGGGCGCATGAGTGAGGACAAAGTGCGCAGAAAAGACTGGTGTTGGTCTGTGAGGGCAGTCTATGTCCTAGGAAAGCTATCAGATGTAAGCGGATCTGGCCTCGAGGAGGCGGGACGTTACAGGGTCCGCGATATTGGACGCTAATGCCTTGGACCAATTCCAAGATCATCCAAACAATCAAATTTGAGGGCGCCAAACACCAAAGCCAAAGCAAGGGTGCCAATATCTACTTCCAAACGGCACCTAAAATTAGATTGTGTGGTTCAAATGTCTACTCTCTTGGAGTTGCTCTGACTACGGGAGAAAATTGCATTAGCCATACATGCGTGATTAATGGCCGATTATGTTGGGCACGTGGGTGGCATTTGCTCAGACTTGATCTCGTAGGGCCCATGGGAAGTGGTATTTGTAGAGAAGATTTCATGGGGCCAGGTAGACTATCGTGTCCTTGGGGGAGTGAGCGAAACCAGGCAGAGGCGCAGAGCCAAGGCGTGCAACGTACCTAGTGCTGCCAGTAGAGCTCTTCCATATTTTTTTAGTTGTATATGTAGATAGAGATAGACGTAGATAGATAGATAGATAGATAGATAGATAGATAGATAGATAGATAGTAGATGGTATAGATTTATTTTTGCCTCCAGCCCTCTTCTAGTCTTGTTAATTGTTATCCCCATTCTTCCCCACCCCTAATATATGTTAAACTATGGCTGCCCGGTAGATAGAAAGAGGCCAGAGATCAATCAAGAGCAAAATGTTTGAAACATACACTACTACAGATTCAAACATCACTGCCGGCCCATCACTGCCGGATTCACGTATCGAGGTGTGGGACTCAAAAAAGAAGCCACTTTTCTCTTATCGAGCCCCTAGTCAAAGTGTTGAATAAGTGAACCCAATATCACAACATTTTCTAATCACATAGCACATTGTAATGTCATCGTCCTTCACACTTTATTTATAATGTCACACAGAATGAAGGCATTACCTGATTGGCAAAATCTCGATAGCAAGATGCAAAAGCGCTGGAGTGCCCCATTCAATGTTCAATATATGGAGGAACTCAAGACCCTAGATCAACCGATGGGGAACAACGAATGCGGGTTCTATGTGATGTGGGCAATGCTTGTCTACTTCGG